CTGATGTTTTTAATGTTTTTATCTGATGTTTTTAATGTTTTTATCTTTTCTTTTTATCTATTTATTAATTTCTTTTTATTTCTCTTTCTCACTGTTTCCGAAAGGTTAGAGTCCTGGTCAAACGGTGTTTTGACTAAAGTCCAAAGGGTTGGAGTCCCAGTTGGCAGCGTCTCAACTAAAGTTATACAGCTGTTTATTTCTCTTTCTCACTGTTTACGTTTTAATGATTTTTTTAACTCTTTCTCACATGCTGTTTTTATTTTAATTATGTAAAGCACTTTGAAATGCCTTGCTGCTGAAATGTGCTATACAAATAAAATTTGATTGATGATTGATTGAAAGGGGAAGGGTGGTCTGTGAGGCGGAAGCTCGGCTGGAGACTGCAGGTCAGAGACAGAGTTGCATGGAAAAGGTGGTGGTGCTTGGTGAGAGGAACCTGTTAGGCACACCTGGTTGCCACGGGAGCTTAAAAGATTTCTCAAACATCCATGAAAGAATCAAAGCAACACTCCAGGTATATTTTTGATAAGGGAATAATATTACAACATGATCTGAATAATATTACAACATGATCTAAAGTTAAAAAAAAGGGGGGGGGGGGGATTTTACGTAGTTCCCCTCCTTTAAGATTTCATCTGAGAATTTGAAGTATTCAGCTAGCTTTAGTTGGTGGAACATATCATCCATCCACTGTGTATGGATGATATGCTTGTCTAGACCTGCACCACGGGACTACAGCCATGAAGTTACAGCCTAACAAATAGCCTATGTTGTAGGCTATTAAACAGCCTACAAAATATCGGCAGGCCAAAACTATCTGACTTTAAGTAAACTTTACAGTTTAGGAAAAAAAGACATTTATTTCCCCTAATATTTAAGATCTCAGAAACCTGTCGTATCCTTTTCCCTAAAAATATTGTTTCTCCATCTTAAACTACCCCTAACCTGCCCTACATCTTTTTCTTTCTATCTTTCATCCATGCCAACATTTGTCCTTTGGCCGACATTTTTTTAGTCTGCCAAAAGCAATGCTCAATCTTTAGCTGTACCTCCTCCTGTTCTTCAGCCTATTCCGTTCTCTCCCTCTGTTCTCCTTTTTCCAGGTGTTTTCCACGGATAAAGGATTGATGAAGCCATCAACTCTCAGCTCTTGACATTTACAAAAGAGTCCTGCGAGGAGCCTCCCAACACTCGCAGCCCTCTCTTGTGTTATCTTCCCACAACGCTACCTCACCCGTCACTAACCCAACCACATCATTAGGACCCAGTAATTAGCTCTCATTTGTAAAGCCCATGTAAATAAAGGGGGCATAATGGTTGGGATATCATTCATACTGAGGTGTAAACTAGACTTTGACTATGTGTGTTTGTGTGTATGTGCTTGAAGTATTTTTCCTTCTTTTAGCATAAATAGAACACAAGCAGATAGCCTATGACTCATTCAGTAGCAGGAGTGTGCTTTGGAAAAGTTGCTCACAAAATAAAACAAGCAGGTGTTTGATCTGTTGGAGAAAGATGCTGCAAGGAAAATATTTAGAAAGACTAAGTTAATCATTTTGCAGGTAGAGTGCACAGATACGGGCTGAACATGTTGGTAAAATAAAAGGTTTCTTTAGACCAAAATATACCCGAGGTATAAACAATTGTGTAAATATATTGTTGTTCTTCGGAGATACAGATTGATTCATCCCCTACAATTTAAATTACCGCATGAATTTTAGATACATTTTAGATGGACCTTTTATGTAGATATAAAAAATTCATAAATACAAGTCAAGAGAGGTGTTCTGATCTACTCTATAGTTGTTCAGATACATATTATTACAGAAATTCAGGATTAGAACACACACTGTAAATGGAACAATTCAAAAATACCTAATGGTGTGGGCCATGACCTCGCTGGCGATTCATTTCAGGTCTCCACATCCATCAGTGAACAGGAACTTCACAGACCAGTGTCCCGTTTTCACCACAGCCTCTAATGGGCTGGTAATTGACTGATTTATGAACCGTCTACTCAGACGGTGGAAAGCAGACAGGAACTGACAAGAAAGAAAGAGGATCACTTTCTAGTGAGAACGTTATTTTTCACTTGACTAGCAATTACAGTTTTTGTATCTTTGCTGTTTCTGGGAGATAGCAAAGAAAAAAGTCGGTGTTTAGGTGAAGCAACCATGACAAGAAACGAAAATAAAAAAATAAAAAAATAAAAAAAACAAAGCACGTGAGAAACCTTGGTTTGGGGTCTCTTTTACCTCAAATCTAGCACCAGTGTATGGTAATTGTTGCAATTGTTTGAAAATCACCAAAAGCGTTGACTCAAAATCAGAACTGACAGCGTCGTAGAAATGACAACATGTTCCAACTTAAGCATCTTGCAACACAGTACTCAAGGACCCACTCCTAAACTTTCACAAGACTTCCAAGGACCTATACGAGCAAATTAAGCTATCTTGAATATCATTACACTCATACTTAAACACAAAGCAAGATATCCTGGAACCCTTTGAAATGACCTTCAAAGATAATTTCAATCATCCAAGAACTCTGACACTTCTCAAAGTAGTGCAACAATCTCTTAAATCATCCGACAAATATCTTCAGACACATAGAACATTTCCTTAAAACTCTTGGAACTGTCTGAAAGAGCTGACAGGACTTTCAATCTTCTTCTTCGAGACTTCAAAATGCATGTACTTTGTGGTTTTGAACTATTATATGTTACTTTGACTCTCAGAGGGTCAAAAGCACTCAGAATTGTATGCATCTATAGCCTCCTGGTCAATGTAACTATGTCAAAAAAAAAAAGATTGTTGTGTATTAATTTGCATTTAATGACAATAATGTTCATCCCAGTGGGGAAAACTGCATGTTTAGACTGAACTAGTCTCCCCTGATTGGTGAACTTTTCTCCCCTTACACTAGTGTTCAACCTAATTATCCAAAATTAAGTAAAAGTAAGTAGGACTAGATATTTAGAAACATAGATTAAAACAGCTTTTTATTCCTTGAGAGTATTTATTTCTTGAACCACCTCCAAGTGCTTTCTGCTCCAATTTTAACCCCACATACAGTCAGATTAAATCTGTGGCAGCAGCAAATGTGGAGTTATTTACTACCATGTCTTACATTCTGATCAGGATTTTCCTTTATTTTGGTGTTTACTTCACTGCACATAATGACAAGGAAACTTGACAGAAATTCAAACTGATGTCAAAAATTAAAACAAGACCAAGAAAATCTAAGTAAGTTTTTTTTTTTACTGTTATTCAATACGAGTAGCTGAATTAGAATATTTTCCAATGAAATATTTGCACAAATCAGAAACAGTGGACCCCTGGTATCTGCTGGGCTGAGTGGCCACAGCCAATTTTAATAGTTCAAACATGCATTAATATGCATAAACACACAGAGCATAAAATTACCACAAAAGTTAACCTTCACAGTTTTCCTTCTATTCACTCTTTTGAATTCAGCCAGTTACCATCAAGGAAAATTAATACCGCTCCTGGATTGGCTGCTTTGCAAACGCCAGCCAATAGTGTGCAAAGTAGCTTTGCACATATGTATTTCTGCTTTTCTAGATTAATTTTTGTTATAATATCTTAGACATGCTCTATGAAAAAAACCTGCAAAGAGTTGGAGTTATAGTCCACAAAAAAACAAAAAAAAAAACAAAACAGCAATTGGTTAAAAAGTTGGGGGTCTATGGTTCGATTTTCGTTATTTGTTGACAAAGTGAAAAACCTTTTTTCCTGCTCGTCCCTTCAAAGGAATTATACAGATAATATAATGTAGGTTGTCAATAAAGTTAGAAATTTTTTAATAATCATGAACTAAAAAGAAACCAGGATATAGAGGACTGCATCAGCCCAGCTTTATATCACGCTTGTAATATTGCAGAATTATTGTATATATTGTAGGTTATTTTATGATCAGTTTTTTCCATGATTTTTTTTAGTTGTTTTTTTTTGTTTGTTTGTTTATGTACAGCACTTTGGTGCAGTTTTACACCAGTTTTTAAAGTGCTATATAAATAAATTTGACATTGACATTGATAGATTAAACAAATAATGAACAAATGCATTTGTTTCTTCCAAAATTATATCACAAAGTAGAAAAATGGATATGTACACACAATATGTACGCAGGCTGCAATGTCTTCAACTAAAAATCCCACAGTTGTTCAGAAAGAAACCACAGAATCTATATTCACCTCCGGACTTCTACAAAACGCAAGGTCTAGCGGTAAAAAATAAAAATAAAAATAAAAACAAGACAACTTCTGCTTTCCAGCAGAAATGGCAGATCGGAATGGAAAAAATGACAGGATATATACTCTGTAGATACAAAAGTCTAAAAGACATCATCTCATTTCAAATTTGCAGCAGTTTGTAATGACAGCAATCAAAGGCACTTGCAGTTTGTGGATTCCCCTTTGTTCATTAATGCTGTATTTCTGACTCAGAGAAGATCTCCTTTGATAGAATCAGTTTTATGTCAATGGTAAGCCATTATACATGCATGACCTATCCTAATCATGATGCTGCTGAAAAAATCCCAACCACACAAACGTGCGTCTAAAGCGGTCTATTATGCACATTACACTTACACAATTCTACTCCTCACAATTCAATAAAACAAGCATCAATTTTGTTTGCTGATCTGTTTACAGCTTCTACAGCACCAAGATAACGGCTGGCTGTAAATCTGAACCCAGGGATGAGAGAGAAGGTGGGAGCGGGGGTACTGGGGACAGCTATGTGAATTGAACACAGACAAGAGAAAAGGGGAAAAATGTGGGGATGCAAATAAAAGTAAGGGGTGATGAAAAAGAGGAAACGCCAAGGCTAACATTGGAAAAAACAATGCAGGAATTCAAAAGTTAAGGAAAGCCATTCTCCAGCCCACCTGCAGTCTTAAGAGATGCGGTCATTTGGATCCCAGGGGTTTTTTACTCTGTGCGGTCCAGTAGACGCTGTTACAAAGATTTGTGTGTGTGTGTGTGTGTGTGTGTGTGTGTGTGTGTGTGTGTGTGTGTGTGTGGTTTTGGAAACTGACGGGACAACCCACCCCCACTTCCCCCGCTGTCCAACCGTGACATTACTGAGATCCTCCTGAGCATCACTCTAAAACCGAGGGAAGGTTAAACATCCCACAGACTCTTTAACACCTAGTTGCAACCTGCTTTCCATTTGTTTCAAAAACATGTCAAGCTATTTTCCTCTGTGTCTGTCAAGGACACTTTCCAAAGAGAAACGTTTAGAAAACCAATGACAACCACTAAATAAATGGTTCTTGTAGAAAGCTTCGGAAATATGAGGTGGTCAAAGCTGCATTCCTAGAACGTATACACACTGAACCACAGACACCTGGCTGCTGCTGTGAAGGTTAGCAGATGCTACATTCAGTCGTTCTGAAATACATAAAACCAAAGTGATGCTGGTTTGATGAAGCCCACCAGCCATCAGAATCCCAACATGTCCAACAGTTTTTAATGCGGTGAGAGAGAACAGAGCAGGCGTTGAGAAGATCATGACCTCCA